ATCAAGATTTAATTATACCAGTTCCCAAACAATTAAAACTAACACTCTAAATCATCAAGCACGTACGAATGTGATTTAGTTTGTTGTTTCAAAAAACAATAAATCGACACACACAATTTTTATGTGGAAAAACCACAATTGGAGCACCTCCAATTGTGATAAAAAACCACGGGTGAAACGCCACAAATCAATCCACTACTGAAGAAAGAAAGATTACAAAGATACCAAACAAATTACCCAACCGCTGCCAATTTGTTTTCAAATCTTCTGTAATTCTTTCACTGTAACTTTCATCTCGGAATTGATCAGATTGATGTTGAATCCACAACATCGATTGTCGAATCAACGACTGCGCACAACACCAAACTCCTTCGACTCCTCTGCGCTTGATTCTTCGGATTCCACCGAAGAAGAACACTCTTAAAGAAGAACAACCAAACTCCTTGATGTATGCTTATCAAAACATGAGTTCAATACTCAATCAAACATCAAGGAAAACCAGCAAAACAGCCCTAAAAGAAAACCCTAAAACCCTTAAAGAAGATCTAAAAAATGTACCCTAGATTTGGAGCAACTTGCACTTTTATAGCTGCTGAAATCGCGAAGTCCGCTCGAGCGTAGGAATGAACGCTCGAGCGGGGAAGATAAAACGTGTGTTCCAAACCAAGGTTCACGCTCGAGCGAAAGTTCTTACGCTCGAGCATACAATCACACCACGCAATATTTTTTCAGTCAAGCCAAAGTACTGCGATGGTGGAAACTCCGCTCGAGCGCCACGTTCCCCGCTCGAGCGAGAAGACCAAAAACAAAAGAAAATTACAACTCAATGAAATCCAAGTTTGTTCACGGAATTGACAATAAGTAGGGTCCTAACAACGCATATGGGTAACCCCCCCAGGCAATGTTACAGGTGTGAGCCCTTTGGGATATCTAAATTTTCCAAAGGAAGAGAGTTATGGATGTTTCAATGATGGTTTTGGGCCAAAACTATGGACTAAGTTGGTTATGAAAAATTACCATGCGCGCCGCCTGCTCAGGCCATCCAAATTTTCCAAAGGAAAGGAGTTATGGATGTTTCAAGGATAGGCTTGGACCAAGACCATGACCAAGTTGGTTATGCCAAAATTGCCACGTGTGCACCGCCTGCCCGGGCCGGGTTTGTGGATCTTGGTGCTTGACTAGTTTGAGCTTGGATTGAGTTGGTTGCCCACCAATCTTGTTTTTTTTCTAACCTAGGTTAAATTACGGTGGTTGTTGCTGATTCAACACATGTGCTATAATATTTGAGATTTATGGTGGTTTAATCCACTAGTTGCGCAAAATTGAATTTTGTATTCATGCCTAGCCTTGAAGGTTGAGGCTCCTCCCTTGTGTATAAATAGAGGCCATCTTCACTTGTTTCAATACTAAAAATATTCCAAATTATTTTTGTCATTCTCTGTCTCCAAAATTCTTCCAGTGTGAGAGAGTACTGCCTATGTTTTTGTTCGTCGGACTGCTTAGAAGGTGCCCCTGCAGTAGTTATTAATCGTTGTTGTATCCTAGGAAACAAACGTCGATGTACCTCCAGCACCCAACGGTGAGGTGGTGAATCTATTTTAAGGAGACTGTGGTATCACACAGGCTTGTCCCAAACATCTAAATACATTTTATATTTTATCTGTATTTTATTCAGCATGTTATTTTTCCTGGGATTGAAGATTTGTTTTGTTCATCTCATAATTTTGCGATATGCAATGTGAAATTATGTAATGTGAGTAGTTTTTCCCAACAGTAAGTAAGCCACTTTCTACGACTCTTCCTTGTGTCGACAAAAGTGTTTAGTTTCTTTGGCGAAAAAGCTCGTAGCGCGCCCAAAAGTTTGCAAATTAAATTGTACTGTTTTGTTTTGGAGAATTACATTCGAAATTTTTTTTTATTTTTTTTACACAAACATGGCGGGGTACAAATATACACAAACATCTCATAATCTTTCGCTTGCACCCTATCATAAAATTACTTACACCCTATATATTTTTATAATTTTTTTTATTTGTTCTATTATTTTGAAATTCTTCCTTTTATTTTGTGATTTAGTTATATTTAAAGAAGAGGAAAGAAAAAAAAAAATCCTCTCTGAATACCGTTTATTTTTTTGGGCAAATTACGTACATCCCAATTGAGATTTAGCTAAATTATAAAATGTCCCGATGTTTAGCTAAATTATTTTTTTCTCGTTTTCCTCCCGTGATTTGCCCTAGCTCCCAAATTTCTTTCAGCCTATGCCTGTCTCTCGCGTTGCACGCTGACCCTCTCCATCACATAGGTATGACTTCTCTCTCTCTCTATTGTGGTGGTATAATGGTGGGAGGTGGTTTCGGTGGTGGTATATTGGTGGGAACGGGGTGAGGGTTCTGGTGGTGGAGAGGTGGCAAGGTTGTGGAGGGACTGTGGTAGGAAAATGAAGTGGGGCTGGGTTTCGGTATTTTCTTTCGCTACTCCAACCCTGGTATTTCTCTCCAAATCCCTACTCATTAGAAATTTATGTAACATACTAACATTCAGATATATGTACACACCTAGCCATTACTGATTTTATCCCTTTCCTTTTCTTCTTCTTCCCTAGGAGATTTCGAGGGGCCAATCTCGAATTAGGATTTTTGTTCGAGAAGATCATCAATATATGCACATATATTTACAGAGAATTTCTATATTTTGAATTTGGAGTTTTCCCTCATTCCTTCATTCGAATATATATATATATATATATATCAGTGTAGAGTGGGAGATTTGGGGAGTAATTAGCAATAACAAAATGGTTTCATCACTGTTTGTTTAATCCTATGGGAGTCCACGAGGTTTTCCTCTGTTTTTCCTTCAGTAGGTATGTTCATTTTTCTTCTCTTTATATATACTTGTTATATATATGTATGATGGTTTTGTTATGTGTTAGGTCGGTTGAGAGTTCTTTCACAAATGTTCAAGTAATTTGCAATCTTCATCCAAGCTGTTATCACGTAATTTCAATGTGGATTCAGACCAATTTTCGATTCCCACTTTATTGCTTTGATTTTTTTGTAATCAAGTTCATATGTAAGCGTGCATCTTGATCTATTGTTTAGCCAATTGCTTTAGTCTTTTGGTTATATATAACATATTTGTGTGTTATATTACTTTCTAGGGTCAAACTATTGTACACACCACCTTACCATGAAAAAAAGTGTTGAATTTTTGTGGTGCTAGTTACGAATTAATGTCATATACTTACGAAAGGTGCACCATAAAAAAGATTCTTAATTACAAACCCTTATGATTATGTTATGAATTTCTTTTCCCTCTAACTTTTGTTACCAATCATTGTGGTCTATAGTCGGGAAGGAAGAGTGGGTTACGGTGGTAAAGGAAGCATGCACCATAAATTTTTTTAATTACGAATTATTGTGATTGTGTTATGAATCTTGTGATTTTCTTATGAATTTTTGTGATTTTGTTACTAATCATTGTGTATTAGTATGGTGGTAGTAGTTAGTTGGGATTAAATCTATGAAATTATGTAAAAATCCTAATTGTAGCTTCATTTAATAATCATCATCAAGCTTCATATGGTCTCTCAAGGTCAGTATGCAAACTGGTTCGGAAATCCTTCATTTTCCACCTAAAGTTCATGTTTTTTGTTACTTGTGATTTGTTGATTACTAGAAATAGCTTATGTCCATTTCATGAAGGTTTGGAGTTTTTGTTTAAAGTGGCGGGGTTTATTGTCAGTATATCCTGTTGATTTGAAAATGTTAATGAGATGGTGATTTTGATTTGAAATGAATGGATTGAAGAAATTAATTTGGGAGTCACTATTCTTCACAATTTTAATCAGTCTTTGATTCAGTGCAATAACTTTGTTTCTAACAATGAAATTGCAGAATGGAAGGAAGTTGTAGACATTATACTAGTGGGAACGATGCACTAGGTGAAGGCCTATAAGGACATAAAGGAGTACTCAATTAATAACTTTATTACTTGCATAGATCAGGAACCCCTGCATTACTTATTAATACGATTTTCTTTTGTCCCAAACATTTCTTTACACATCACTATCATTTATGGTGATTCTATTTTGTATTTCATAACTTCTTGGGGAATGGAAGTGAATTCTATTGATGCTCTCAATCAATTAGCTTTTTGTAGTAGAAGTGATCTTTATTTGTGGATGCTTGGGAACAAAAAAATTCACATCAAACAGGGGACTATATTTTCTGTTTTAAACCTTCTTGGATAATGAAAATAACTATTTGAAATGGATTTATCTGGCAAAATAATACTAGGGAACATGAAATGCTTCATGAAGATTTTTCATCATCTGATTAGTGTGTAATGTTTTTTTGTATATGTAATCTAACAGTGGAAAATCTTTCATGATATTTTTTTCATGATACCTAGTATTACTTTTGCAAGAATAGCGGTATTAGAATAACCAAAGAGTAATTAATTGACTATCTTGGAATTGTTGCTCATAGTGCACTTTTGACATTATTAAAGGCTTTTAAGGAATGTAATTCTCTTCACTTGGTCAATTTCCAATTATTATTATTTATTTATTTTTATTTAACATAAACATGTCAATTGCTCTGTTCTTCTACTACTTACGGATATTTTAATGGACTTGATAGGTTTGAAGCTCTTGCAAAAGGAATTCAACAAAGTACGATTACAAAAATAGAGCGCTAATGGATATGCTTACGGGTTGGGAGGTATGATGAAGAACAGACTTGTAGCAAAACTCAAAACCAATGTAAGGAAATCAACATTTTTAGCAATTTTTTTTTAAAAAAATAAAAATAAAATGGGATTGGTGTTTTAACAGTCATTGAAGATAGAAGATAGTATATCTTGATGAATTATTTGAAGCAGTTGTAATATTTTCGGTTTGAAATATTCTTGAGTTAGATATTGTTTTTATTATATTTTGTTAGTGTTATGAATGTTGTGTTTTCATTATACAAATAAAATTATAAATTTTTAGCTTGTATTAGAGAATGATTAATGGAATTTTTGTTGCAATTAATTTAATTTAATTTTTATTTTTTATTTTTAAATTTTAGTGACAACCACAAAGCCACTAAATGTGTCATGTGAGTACCAACAATTAAGACAAGGTGATATTTCTAAATGTCACTAGTGAAAAATCTAGTGCCACTTGGAAGTGCCACAGATGTATGTATAAAAGTGTCATAAATAATGTCTAATATGGCACTCAATTGTCTATAAATAATATCAATTGTGGCATAAGAAGTGCCATTAAAAAGGTATATAGTGACATTTTTTAGGTTGTAAGTCTTGTTTAATGGCGTTGATAGTGTCACGAATAGTGTCTAACATGACATTGAAGTGTCAGTGAAGGCTTTTAGCCTTTACGGTATAGTGGGATTTGCAAGTGTCACTGAAGTGCCACTAATATCTATTGTGACATGAGTATAAATGACATTTGTTCAAAATGTCACAAGATTAAAAAGTGTCATTAGAAAAATAATTTTGTAGCATTTTCAAGTGTCACTGAATTAAAAAAAAAAAAAATGTTGTAGTAATGTGCTTGTCAATGTGCATGTTGCCTATCTCCTCCTCCACCACCATCATCATCATCATCATCATCATCATCATCTCCTCCACCACCACCATCATCATCATCATCATCATCATCATCATCGTTATTTATGTGGTAGTGGGTCATGATCACATTATGTTTAAGATTTTAGGGGGGGAAGGAGGGGGAATTGATACTATTGATGGCAGAGCTGCAAACGAATGAAATTGAATCGAATTTCATAAAGTTTGAGCTTATTTGTTTATCAAGTTTGATTTTTCAATTCGAATTCTTCTTGATAACTAATCAAGCTCAGCTTGGCTCAACCCGTGAATATTAATCAAATTTGAGTTAGGCTGGAAACTTGATAATGAATTTTTTTTTACTAGTATTTACATTATTTAAATATATAATTAATATAATTATATTTTATTTAAATAAATATATTTTATATTATTTAACTTATAAATCATATATTTATGCTGTTATTTGTACATATTTTTATGTTATTTAATATATAATAATAAACAACTGAGCTTATTTGAGGTTGAACTTGGCTCGTTTACTAAACGAGTATAAAAGTAAGACCCAAACTCGTTTATTTACTTAACAAATTGAGCTGAACTGAATCCTTAACGAGCGGAGTCTAAATTCGTCAAAGGTTTGGTTTGTTTGCAATCTTAATTTGTTTGTTTTTTATTTTTTATTTTATTCATATTTGCAATCCTAGTTGATGATATACACATGGCACGCATTTGACTTGCCCATGATGCCATTGCTTGATTAAGTACTTACAATAATGATTTATCCCTCTAATTTGGGAGCTCTAATTGAGTACTAATGAGGTAGAAATTCAAAAAAAAAGAAAAAAAAAAATTAAGATCAAAATATCACATCAATGAGTAGAGCCCACCCTTTAGAATTCCTTTACAGCTCATAGTTTAGAGCTTCTAAACATTTTTGTAGTGCCTAAACTATACATTCTAAAAACGAAACAAAAAAAAAAAATAGAGGGTACCTAAACTAGACCAACAGCTCTTTAGAAGCAGCAAAAAAGTGAGATAAATGAAGGAACAAAAACACCATCATGGTCCCTTTTTCAATCAATGAGAAGCTTAAAAAAAGTGAAGGACATGCTTATGGAGGTTAAATCATTATGCTTGAAGAAATGTTATTATTCCAATTCAAAACAAAATATAAAAAGGAAAGCCTGCAATAATTTTCTTTTCTTTTCTTTCTTTCGTTTTTTGGGAAAAGTAACCTGCAATAACTAAATTTATTTCACTGCAACATCTAAAAACTTTATATAAAATAAAATATAAACAAAATCTCAAATTTCCACACAATAACGATTGAACTCTTTCAAAAAAAAAAATTTAATTTTTTTTTATTATAAAATACTTAAAAAGAAATCATGTCTTTAAAATTAATGTTACTGTAGATAATACCTTAATAATTTTACATAAGACTTATTTCACACTATATAAACAATGCAAATATCATTTGAACTAATGTATTTACTGTTTGATTATTATTTTTTTTCAAATTAAAAACAAAGGGTACTTTAGTAATTAGTCCTGTTAACTAGACTTATGTACCTACAGGTTTTGACTGATAATTTTATCACTGCAAATCTATTCATAAAAATTAGAAAAACTGATAAATTTATCAATATAACTTAATATTAGATAATAAATTTCAAAAGTAAAACCTATTGGTAAGAAATTAACTTCTTTATTTTTTAATTTTTTAAACAAAATAAACTCCTTGAATCCATGGAACAATCATTGAATATTGCATATATTTGTAATTAGGTCATGTTTTAGGAGAATCTTTTTTAAGGTCTCTAATATTAAAATTTTATAAGATTAAGGACACACCAAGGCATCAGCCCTCAAGATTGGATGGGCACATTTGTTGTTTGCATGACCAATTTATATTCGTTGAGGTAATTCGACACATAATGAGCTATTTCCTCTGTCCCCCAATGCACATTATTAAAGATAAGCGAATTTGTTTTACATTTTAGATGCAACTTAATTAGGTGCATCTAAAAAATACACAAAAAAAAAAATGATTAAAATATATTTTAAAAATTACTAAAAATAAACAAAAACTCATCTAAAAACATATTTAAAAAAATCAAACCGAACATTATAAGCATTTTATGTACTTTTAAAAAAATAAGACAAGCTAGAGAACTCCTAATATTGGTTACACATGAGAAAATCAATCAATTCATCATGGACATTCATCTTTTAAAAAAAATAAATAAATAATTATAGATTATAGATAATAAAAATATATATATATATATATTTTTATCTACATGCGAAGAATAGTTTGATCACATGTGAAGGAACGTGTTGAGTACAAAAATAATAAAATTATTTTTCTCTTTTAATATTTTAATTTTTGAATGAACTGGTGATTGACAATCTTACACCATTTCACATATAGAAACGAAAACTGAAAAACAAAATGGTGTGTGATGATAGCTCAAAATTGATTGAACTATGTTGGTTCGACATGGGCCGTTTAGAAGTTGTTAATGTTGTGAAAAAGCCCATAGAGCAACATCAACCTTATATTTTTACCATCATAACCCACTTTGATGCACTCTATTGCCTATCTTTATAAAAAAATAAAATATAAAAAAAATTAAAAAATAGAAAATAGAAAGCAAAGAAGAACCAGCCCCTACTTTGTGGGAAATAGACACTATATCATTTGGATTTATTTTTAGATAGAGAGAGCCTCATTTTAGAGTAATTATTCACTCCTTCGAAAATTTATTGTTGACAGTGTGTCCAACTAATAGTAAGAGACCTAATAGTTACATAGGCCTAAAATCAAAAAAATGATAAAGAAATGACAATATATTATTGAATGAACACACTATCACCTGGTCTTCCTAACCCTTATACCTTAGATATGTGGACTTAGTTGTAGTCATTCTTGGATTAATTAATACATAGAACTATGTATTTGTACTTAAAAATTTATTGAGAAAAAATTGTGCCTTGGATTTAATTTTCATATAACGTGTGAATAAAAAGGGTAAAAATAATATTATCCTAAATGCAATTGAATCAAACATTAATTTTTTTTTAAATTAATTTATAGGCACAAATTTTGAGTTTGTGGTCTTTTTTGGGTTGGACCAGTGGGTTGAGAGAGACTGTCAAATGTATCTGTTTGGCTTCAATTGGCTCATTCAATTTGGCTTTCAAATGCCACTTTCGTCGAGTTTTCCATAAATAAAATAAGGAAGTTTGCCATTATTTCTTGAGCTTAATTATATTTGATTTTATATGTAATGTGCTTGTCGATGTGCATGTTGCCTATCACCACCTCCACCTCCATCTCTACTATCAACACCATTGTTATTTATGTAGTGGTGAGTCGTGATCACATTATGTTTAAGTTTTTTAGTAAAAAAATAAAATAAAAATACTATTGATGGTAGAGCTGCAAAAGAATGAAACTCAACTGAACTTCGCAAAGTTTGAGCTTGGCTTATCAGTTTATCGAGTTCGATTATTCAATTCGAACTTTTCTTGATAACTAATCAAGCTCGAATTCAACTCGGCTCAGCTCGTGAATATTAATCAAATTTGAGTTAGACTGGAAACTTGATAATGATTTTTTTTTTACTGGTATTTACATTATTTAAATAAAGATATTTTATATTATTTAACTTATAAATCATATATTTATACTATTATTTATACATATTTTTATATTATTTAATATATAATAATAAATGAGCCGAGCTTATTTGAGGTTGAGTTTGGCTCGTTCAAAGTAGACCCAAACTTGTTTATTTACTTAACAAACTAATCTGAACTGAACCTTTAACAAGCTGAGTCTAAATTGATCAATAGTCTGATTTGTTTGCAATTCTAATTTTTTTGTTTTGGTTTTTTTTTGTTTTTTGTTTTTATTCATATTTGCAATCCTAGTTGATGATATTACAGTGGTACTCATTTGACTTGCCAAATTGCGTTCCCATGATGCCATTGCCTGATCATTTGACTTGCCAAATTGCGTTCCCATGATGCCATTGCCTGATCATTTGACTTGCCAAATTGCGTTCCCATGATGCCATTGCCTGATCATTTGACTTGCCAAATTGCGTTCCCATGATGCCATTGCCTGATCATTTGACTTGCCAAATTGCGTTCCCATGATGCCATTGCCTGATCATTTGACTTGCCAAATTGCGTTCCCATGATGCCATTGCCTGATCATTTGACTTGCCAAATTGCGTTCCCATGATGCCATTGCCTGACTAGAGCATTCACAATAAGATAGTTAAAAAAGCGAAAATGCATTATACTCGCACTGGGGGTCGACCCCCACTGAGGTGGCGGCCCGT